AAGGATTTTATTTATTCATTTGAGACACAGAGATACAGAGAGAGAGAAGAGAAAGCATGAGCAGGGAGAGAGGCAGAGGGAGAGGGAGAAGCAGGCTCCCCGCTGAGCCAGGAGCCAGATGTGGGGCTCGATCCCAGGACCCTGGGATCGTGACCTGAGCCGAAGGCAGATGCTTAACCATCTGAGCCACCCAGGCGCCCCCAGACTGTAATTTCTTAATAAGTGTAATTAAAAAACCTGACACTTGGTCATGAGCTTATTTTATTTTATTTATATTTTTATTTGTATATTTGGCCTAAGCATATTGATATCTGCTTATGAGTCATTCCTCATTTAAATGTTTTTATTTCATAAAAGAAGTTTTTCCAAGGGAAAAGGAGATAAAAATGCTTAGAGATCATTTTTGTCCAAGTAAATTGTACATATTACAAATCTGTGAAATTACTTTTAGATCTTTCTTGCTAATTTACTAGTTTATCTGGGATAAAATGCTATTACCTAAATTTTAGTTTTAGTGTGCTTTTTGAGGCCATCTGAAACATAAAGACTTTGATTTTAAGTGATTTTTTTTTAAGTTAAGACAGGTGTTCTTAACAAACAGGTGTTCTGAAGTATTATTTAGATTTTTAGTTTTTCTTGATCCTTTGAAATACCAAGCTGAATTTTACATGGGTCATGTTACACTGGCTGGAAGTATAATGCTTTTTTTTTTTCCTTGAAGAAGAATTATAAATATTTATGTAATTTTAGTTGCTGGTTACTGTAGTGCCTTTCTTTTGCTAGATAGGCTAAAGCAGCTGTGGGTATTGGGGAGGCTTTCAGCACCTTATAAAATTGGCCAGATCTGAAAGGAAGCATTCAGCGGGCAAGTGAGATTTCTAATAGAGCAGAGTTATGAGTTACGGGAGTCTTCTTTAGGTTAATGATACTAAGTCTCCTCAGATTAGGATAATTTAAAAAATAATGTTAAATGTGAAGATTAAGAAAAGATTTGGAAGCCATTTTGTGTGTGTAGGGGGTTTGGTATTATCTACAGACTATTTTAAGTTACAGATTTGTTTCCTGTGCTTGTTCACTGTGAACTCATCTCAAATGGTTTTAACGTTTTTTTTAACAAGGATATTGTCAACAATTTTATAAAAATATGTATATTTTTAATTGAAGTATAATTAACATACAGTGTTACTAGTTTTAGGCGTACAATGTAATGACTGAACCGTTCGGTACGTGACTCTGTGCTCATCACAATAGGTGCACTCTTCATCCCCTTTGTTTCACCCATCCCCCACCCACCTCCCTGATGGCAACCACCAGTTCTCTTTATTTAAGAGTCTGGTTTTTTGTTTTTTTTGTTTTTTTTTTTTTAATTTTTGTTTCTGTTTTTTTTTAGAGACAGTATGACTGAGCAGTGGGGCAGGGGCGGCAGAGGGAGAGGGAGAGAATCTCGAGCAGGCCCCATGCCCAGCTTGGAGCCTGACACAGCGCTCATTCTCACGGCCCTGAGATCATGACTGGAGCTGAAATTGAGAGTCTGACACTTAATTGACTGAGCCACCCGGGTGCCCCTAGAGTCGGTTTTTGTTGTTGTCTCTTTTCTCTCTTCGTTTGTTTTGTTTCTTAAATTCCACATATGAGTGAAATCATATGATATTTGTCTTTCTTTGACTTATTTCACTTAGCATAATGCTCTCTAGATCTATCCATGTTTTTGCAAATGGCAAGATCTCATTATTTTTTATGGCTGAATAATACTCCATTGCATGTATACACCATATGTTCTTTATCCATTCATCAATTAATGGATACTTGGATTGCATCCATATCTTGGCTTTGGGAAATATTGCTGCAAGTTTTAACATTTTTGATATTTGTAGCCCCTGTCCTTCCACATACTGAGTTACTGAATCTCCGTTTATATATTTTTGGTGCTGTATTTCTAAATCCTATTAATTTAAAATACGTGGCTCTCAGTATTCAGTGTAAAAGATTCATATTTATAATATGAAAAATACTTTTTAGCACTCATAAATTTCAGTGGTTAATAGAGAAATCTATGTATAACTTCGCAAGTTTGACTGGGTATAGTTGAGAAAAAAATGGAAATACATTGTTCATGATAACTTCATAAGGAACAAATTTAGTTGGTTTCATTAAAAACAAAACAACAAAAATCACTGTGCATGTGTGCTGCTGTTGATTATGTTTTACTTGGTGGTTTTAAATCCCCTCAGTGTCCTCCTCCTATTGTATCTGCAGAAGAGACCTAAATTTTAAACACCGTCCTTTGCCACAATGGTTATGCACACTCTGACTCCTTTCCTTTTTCCTCCACTGCAGGTCCGACCGTCATGCTTTCTCAGCCTGCCGTTGTACAACTTCAGGCTCCTGGAGTTCTGCCCTCTTCTACCCCAGTCCTTGCTGTCGCGGGGGGAGCCACACAACTACCTAATCACATGGTGAATGTGGTACCGGCCCCTGTGGGAAACAGCCCAGTGAATGGAAAACTTTCAGTGACTAAACCTGTCCTACAAAGTACCATGAGAAGCGTGGGCTCGGATGTAAGTGTTGAAACTTCGTGCTTTATCATACCTGATTTAAAAAAACAACCAAGCCAAAGCACACCATTTTGTTTTTGTTGCCTTGTTTTTGCTTTTTAAAGTTTGTTATATTGCCTTGGCAAATTACTATATTAGAATCTAAGCGAAAAGGTTTTAAAAAGTCTGAAGTTGTTTGATGAAAAGAGATGTATGCATACTTTCCTCTGTAACTCCTTCTTTCAAACCCTCTCCTCACATTCTTCAAGGCCCTCCCCCAACCCAGTCAGACAGTAGTATTTTCCAAGACCCTTTCATGTCTCCTGATTGAAATGTTTTTGGCAATTCCCAGATAAGAGTCTGTAGACTATTTTTTTGTCAGGGTTTATATTTGCCTTCTCTCTTATTGAAGGGTTTTCACCACTGCATAATGATGACTTGCTACTGTTAGGAGTTCTGTCTCTTAATGATTAGTTGGTATTTTCCCATCTTTGCAAATCCTCAGATTTTCTAGCATGTCTTAGGGTTTTTTTGTTTTGTTTTGTTTTTAATAATTTATAAATCACAGAAAGTTTCCTAAGACCTGTCTTCCTTAAAGCCAATTATAGCATTTGCCAGCTAATTTTTGCTTTCTTTAAAAGTGATACAGAGGGACGCCTGGGTGGGTCAGTCGTTAAGCATCTGCCTTTGGCTCAGGTCATGATCCCAGCGTCCTGGGATCGAGTCCCGCATCAGGCTCCCTGCTCTTTAGGGAGCCTGCTTCTCCCTTTGCCTCTGCCTCTCTCTCTCTGTCTCTCATGAATAAATAAATAAAATCTTTAAAAAAAAATAAATAAATAAAAGTGATACAGAAATATCTCATGTTATGTATTAAGTAGTGATTGAATATTATGGGCCTAAAGTTTAGTGAAATTAAAGTCAAATAATCATTTTGACAGTAGATTCTCTTAAATTGTTACTGGGAAGCAAACCCGTGTGTGTTTTCTTTAAAGTAAAAGTAGATATTATGGGTTGTTAATCTTGCTACTCTACCTTTTCTTTAGGTACTGCAAAATACTTTCAAAATTTTGTGAGTTATTAAGGTTATAGCAGTATTATCTGATGTACCATAATTTATTAACTAGCATGTTAGTAGCCCAGTAGTGAAATTGTTCCACTGTTGAATAAACACAACTAAGTAATTTCAGTCAGCAATATTTTAAAGACCCATAACAAAGGAATATTATCTGATGAAAGTAGAACTTTGAAGATCTACAGTAATTCTCATAGTTTATATAGGTTTTGAAACAGTGTTTATCCAGACATAGAAGAAAATTAGAGCCGAACGAGAATAGACATGGATAGTACAGGATTACCCTTGACTGTTAATGTTCATTTATTTTGAGGACTAGAGAAGGTTAAGCATAGCGCTTATGGCATAATAGGCACTGATACACAGTATGTGCTTCAGTTGAGGATGAAATGATATGATGCTGGAATTTGCTTAAAATACTCTGGGGCAGGGGGCGAGGAGCATAGGATGGAGGAAACAAGATCGACAAAATGTTGATAATCATTAAAATTGTTGGTAATCTTTCTCTCCTTTTGGTGTGTGGGAAAATTTCCACAATAAGTAAGTAACAACAAAAGCGCAAAAATATCCTGTGCTATTTTCAATTAAAAAGTTATACAGCCAGTAAAAGAAAGGGTATGTGTTTCATAGGAGACTGACACAGCTCAGAATGATGAGAGTATTTTTAAAATGATCCTTTAAAATTTCCTTTTAATTCTCTTTAAATTATGAATTGGAATGTTTCTTCTGTGATACTCCCAAACAGAACTAGCAATAGAAAATATTCATAGTCGTCTTTTTTATGGGGTAGGGGCAGAGAGAGAGGGAGAGAGAGACTATCAAGCAGACTCCCCACCAAGCACAGAGCCCGATGCGGGGCTCAGTCCCACCATCCTGAGATCATGACCCAAGCCGAAATCAAGAGTCGGACGCTCGACTGACTGAGCCACCCAGGTGCCCCTCAGAGTTGTCTTTATATCATGTTAGGACATTTAAAATATTTATTATGAAATATCTTAGACATGAAAAAAGGTAAAGACTAATTAGAACTTAAAAAAATACAGATCAACAGTATGTCACAGTTGTTAAATTATTCGCATAGTGTTAGTCTGTATTCTTGGCCTTCTAATATCCTATCGTGGGACAGTCCAGAGGCGTGTGGCAAGGATAGGGAAGATGTCTTGAAACTATGTCCTAGGTAGAGGAATGGTTTAAGGGTTGGAATGACTCTATAAACTGAAGAAGAGAACACTGAGCATAGGTCTGGGAGCTGATTCCAGGACACAAAGGTTGATGTGTGGAAAACAGAATGATTGTTCTGGGTTATTCCAGAGGACTCGGCTAGAATAGGTGCAGGTACATTATAGAAAGGTTTCTTCTCGTCCTAAAGTTCTTTAAAAACAGGAGGAAGGGGACGCCTGGGTGGCTCAGTTGGTTAAGCGTCTGCCTTCAGCTCAGGTCATGATCCCACCCTGGGATCGAGTCCCGCATCCGGCTCCCGGCTCAGCGGGGAGCCTGCTTCTCCCTCTGCTTCCCACTCCCCCTGCTTGTGCTCTCTCTCTCTCTCTCTCTCTCTCTCTGACAAATAAATAAAATCTTAAAAAACAAACACAAACAAAAAACAAAAAGCAGGAGGAAGCCTTTTTTTCTTTTTTCTTCTAGGCTAATATCTGAATAATGAGCATTTTAATGTTGGCACTCATCATTGTATTCTGCCGACCCATTTTGTAATCTCTAAACATTTCAATTAATTATTTGTTGACCAGTTAGACATTCACTATAACTTCTTTGGTGTGAAAGACCATGTTTGTTCTGCTCTTGCATCCTTAAGAATGCTCTGTAAATTTGGTGAATAATTTACTGATGAAGTCTCAGTCACCATTGAACTGGGGGATATGTGAGATGCAAAAGTATAGGACCAAGAGGTATTTTTTTTCTTTTAGCAATATTTATTGGCTAGCGTTGTTACTGCTTTCCAGAATTTAGAGTTGACAGTATTATAGAAGAAAGATTTCACGTACTGTGTCTAGTGCAAGAGACCTAAAGGTGATTAGAATAAATTTTCTAGTCAAACTGCATTGAGGTTTTGTGCTTATTTTTCCTTGGCCAGCACATCAGGAAGTGAGCCAGGCCTTTTCAGTATGAGTTTTCTGGTAGAAATTTTGACTTAATGTTTATTTCAAGTAAAGAAACATCAGTCTGTCCTATCAGCTGGCCAAGCCGCTCAGGAACCCAGAGTAAATTTGTTCCAGAAGGAGCTGCAGGAAACTTTGATCTGCTGGTATAGTCTCCTGTGTTAGTAACTTGGTTGACCTTAATAGTGCATGTGTTTGTTAGACTCAAGTCCTATTAAATTATGATAAATTTGAAGTAGTATAAATTTCTGATTCAAAATGGCCAAAAAGAAAGATTTTTCATTATGTGCTTTTTGTGCTTTTAAACCAAAAGCCTGTAATTCAGCAGAAGAAAGCGTATCAGTCTTTTGTGGCTTTGTAATGCTGACATGGCTTCTTTTTTCCTACCTTTTTTGTTCTTTTAGAGTTTGGCTAGTTTCACTCTCTAGAGGCCTGCTACTGCCCTAAGTAGCGTTTTTTGCATACCATATTCTGCAAACTGCATTAAGTGCCACATTTTCTGTTATGAAACAGTTTGCCTGGTTCAAATTATAATCTCACTCTTCTGCCTTTTGCTGGTAAATCTGTTCTGTTTAACTCTTGGAAACCTCACCTAAGTTTTCAAGAAATATGGTTGGTTTTTGGCTCTGATTGTGATGGAAAAAATGAACATGGTCTCTCACTTCAGTGTAGAAATTCTCTTATGCAGTTTCTTAGTAAAAGGCAATGTTGGAACTGCAAAGTTGCCTTCATAGGAGAGGGTGCTGATCTTTCTTTAAAGGCCTATTGAATGTTGCCAGACATCAAATCAAGGACTTGAAAGCTCTAACTACTACTCCGTACCCATTGTAATTCCATAAAGTTCATGAAACATTATGGCCCCACTTTCAGGGCTGTGGAGTTAATATTGTTGTGGTTATTTTGTTTGGGATAAAAGACCAGGAAAAAAAAAGTGGTAAAATTATATTCTGCGTCTTCCGCAGTGGACCAAGGTGGAGCAAAAACCCTTAATGGAAGTCAGTAGGCGGTAACAATGGAAAGAAAATGATCAGGAGCTAGGTCAGAATTAGAAATATCAAAGGGGAGGCTCATCAAGGGTACAGGCTCTGCTGACCGGAGGCCTCAGGCCTTCCTCTCAGCCCATTCGCCCCGTTAAGCATCTTATAAACCCTTTATTCTTGCACTCTTTCCCATTCTTTACTTGGAGACCTTGATCCCTCCCAACCCGGTCCCTAGCCTTTGGGAGTCTCTGTCCTGGTCACTAAAGCCATCATGAGAAGCTGGGTGCCAGGGGATATCCCTTCCCATCTGCCTGCAGGTATTAGAAATAGTGTGAAGGGGATTCCTCTGGCATACCGACCTGGAACTTTGTTACTTCTTTTCTCTGGAGACAGCGTTATACAATTAGGTTCAAGATTTCAGGTATTGTTAGTACTGTGAGCATGGAGGTGATGTGATCTGAGCCCAAACGGGGCCAGTGCACACAGTCTTCCTTTATGGCAGTGCAGGAAGGCTGGACTTTGGGAGTCTAGCACTTTTACAGCAAGCAGTGAGCAAGTTTCCTCATTGTCCAGAGGAAGACATTACCTCATCTCTCAAGGTTTTTTGCTGGAAACACAGCCCTGAGAAAGGGGCCTGGGTAGAGTGGTTAGGGCCTTGTATTTTTGGCATGACCAGGAAGACGTATAGTAGCAGGACTCCCAAGAGACCCCTAGAGAAGTATCTTTCAAGAAAAATATGCGTCTAAAATAACTCGTTTACAGTGCAAAGCAATGCAGAGAAACTCTTAGAAAAATGGAGAGTGCCTGCATTCTAGTTCGGAAAAAAAAAAGCATTGTTTCTAATGACACTTAAGCTGC